TTTGATGAAGATGCCAGGAATGTGTCTGCTGCCCTTTTGACACAGGGTCTGATACCATCTTCAGGGCCATGGGGAGGGCAGAGCCCTGGACGTGGCATTCACGTACTCTACTGCTGGCCTGGCTCCTATTTTTATCATGGCATGGCTCTGGGCATCTAGGCAGGGACCTGGTCCAACTTCTTCTCATTCCTTTACTCTACATCAGACTCCAAAATAATCTCACCCCTTACCTTGGCTGGATCTTCTTGCCCCAAACCTTCTATCATCAATGGAGCACAGTACATCTTTCTTCCTTCCCTTTAACCCAGGCTAGTTCTGAGTACTTTTCCAATTCCCTAAGCCTGATTTTGATGCATATAGGAATACTGTCAAGTTTCTTCTGTTTTCGGACATGAGCAGAGTTCGCACAAGCTGGATTTGCTCCTTGGCTTAGTTTGWTACCCCCACACCCCTTCTCCTGCCAAATAAGGAGCGCTCCTTGTTACATAATTGGACCTTCTCAGCACAGAAGCTGACATACGAGGTCAGGCGCGCATGCGTGCAAGACTTCCCTTTGACTTAACAATGCCTTTTTTGGGCATCTAACTTCTCTTAGCTCCCCTCCCTTACTCTCTCCACACCATCAACAAACAAGAGAGATTTATAAGTCTGGCTCAGAACAGAACTCCTCCAACTTTCACTTGGAAAGAGGGGTCATGAGGTTAAATTTACTCTGTCTTTTTTTTTTTTTTTTTTTTTTACTGCCTTGTAGGCTAAGGAGAGAATATGCTTATAATTTGGCAGAAGTCCCTGGAGTCCAAGGGAGCTACGTATATAGGTCTTTTAAGGGAGCAGGGAAAGTAAAGAAAGCTGGAAGCAGAATAAACTTGTCTGCTTGGAAATAATATGAGGTTGGAAAATGAGGCTGTTTTAAGGAGGAGATACATCTAAATCCAGGTGGCTGTATTATTCCTGATGCCCAAACTGCTGTATGTTTATGATAGTTAGCGAAGTGGACACATTCACCTGAGGTACTGACACAAGATATTACTGCTCCTTAAATCACAGAATTTAAAGGAAGAGAAACCTAGTACCCTTCAAAAGGACATGGTTTAGCTAACTGTGTTTTCAGAGAGAACAAACATGTGGCCTCCTGGATGGCAGTCATGGGGACATTGGGGACACTGGGACCTCATATCACACCTCTTGTGGGGGGGTGGTCAGGGTAGGTGCAGAGGGGAGGGTGCTGTAGCTCTAGATATCAAGTTCCTGGCTTATTTGCTTACTAAAGCAAATAAAGGACTACGTAAACTACTTTTTAAAAATAAAAACTGCAAGCTGCCCAGGGAATAGTAATACAGACTGACTTTAGGAGGGAACAGTGTTCTTTTTGTTACATGTGAGATATAATTTGGATTCTATAAACTATCTGATAATCTCTTCTTGGGGAATGTTTGCTACTCAGAGTGAAAGATTTTTGGGTTGGCCTTATCCTTCAAATTATAGGGCAAAGGTTCTGATCCTGAAAATTAAAGAATCATTATAGCTAAAAATTAGAAAAAACTGGGTTGAAATTTTATGTGTGCTATTTTGACCTGTCATCTTGATATAATAACACAAATTCTTTGTAAATCGTAGTTTCCCCCATGTTAGAAGTAGGATTCATAATACCTATTCCATATGGCTCTTAAAGAGATTAAATGATAGAATATGTTTGAAATGTTTRGCCCAATGTTTGTGTGAAATAAGACTCTGAACAAAAGCTTGCAGGATAGTAAATACCTTGCTGATGAGATGATCAATCACTACACTCTGAATTTAGAAGTAAGGCCCATCTTTTCCATGTCTACCATATATCCAGGGACTTGTTGGTATGAGACAATGGCCATGAAGGGCAAATCCTTGGGCCTCTGGAGAGGGAATTGGTTCTTTCTTCATACACTATGACTTATTACTTCCTATCTAAAGGAGGCTTCTGGAACACTATGAAACCAGCACAAGATTCTTGAGAAGAGGATCAAAAATGTAAAGTGAATAGGGATTTACAGGGGAAGACAGAAGGTCTTGAAAGGGGAAGGATGAGATTCTTGCTGCTATAGTTCTATTTCCTTGTAGCTAACAGAAAATGAAATGGACTAAGGATAAAGTTAGACTAGATATAAATAAGAACTTTTGGGGCTGGAAGAGATATACCTAAACAGGTTACAAAATACCATTATTTAGAAATACCTATCATGACCATGTTTAACAGTCTATAGATACAACAAGGTTTTCAAAAGCAGCCACAAATTTCTGTTCTTGTACAATATTTAACAATTACATTCACAATTTCCTGTCTTTCTAAATAGTGATGGCATTCCATAAGAAAACAGAAAAGAAAACCAGGAATGACAAGTGAAGAGCAAATCAAGAAAAATTCAGGAGCAAGCCCTCTCTTTGATATAATTTATAGCATGAGTTGCATAAAGGTTTTGATAGTTTTCATTTACCAGCTGTGTATATATCTAGCTAACTGGATCTAGCAAAAGTGTCAAGGGWTGGGGACAGAAAGGTGAAGAACTTAGCTTGATTCCAAAGCTTTCCTATTAGAACAGATTTCAGTAGTTCTCCCCACCCAGGTGGGCAGGAGCACCAGGAAACCTGGAAAACACTATGGAACTATGTACTTCACATGTGCTTGTTGGTACTGGACAGGAGCCCAGGTGTTCTGCTTCCTAATGTAAGACTGGGAGTGCTGTGGTTGTTGCTTTAACAAATGGGACCACTGGCACAAAATCACTTTGAAAGACCTCATAAAGCCTTCATTACTTAGAAGCCCAACTSTGTGTGGCTCAGAGAGATGGGCACAAAAGGGATGGTGGTAACTGGCAGAAGGAGACTGGTATGGGGTGATGTATCTAGAAGACATAAAAAGTGAAGCTAATTTTCAGCTACTAGTTGAAGACATTAGAAACAAAATATGTCTTATTATTCTTCTTTTCTGTAGAGCAAATATTAAGAACTATCGTTTACTAGACATCTTGAGATAGCATTGTTAATTCTGTTTTCCAGATGAGGAAACCAAAGCTCAGAAAATTTAATTATAGAATAATGGCTTACTGGAGTAGATAAGAACTTGGGCTTTTGAGCAGCTTGGTTTGAATGGTGGCCCTACCACCCATTAGCTTTGTGATTGTGTGTAAGGCCCTGAATTTCAGCACTCAACCTCTTTAAATTTAAATTTATTAAAATATAATAAAGTAGGGATCATGCCTATTTTGTTCACTATTGACCAGCTTTTAGTAATATACATTTTTTTCCCCTGTGAACAAAGAAGCAAGACCAAAATCAATCCCCAGGTGTATAAAGAGAGACAGAAACATTTAAAGGTAAAGTGGGACAAATGCCACAAAACCGCCTGGCCAAATCTGTACCATCAAGCCAAGAAAGAGTTCAGACTAGGAAACACAACTATTATTTCTTTAATCCTACACACTCCCCACTAAGGGTCTGCAACCTGGCTTAGAAGTTTCTCAGCCTATGTTTGACTACTGAAAGTCTATCCCATGTCTACTGTAGCCCTTGGGACTTACTTCCCTTGTATTTAACTTTCCTGCTTAGATTTCCAAGGATCCTCTCTATGTGAGATATCAGTTCTTCCATGATCTTACTGTAATTCTCAGGATCTAGTTCTCTCTCTYTTTTTTATCTGGACTGGCCCAAGCCATTTCATTTTCTGAGCTACTCAAACTTTAAGGCAAATTTTCCCCTACCTTTTAAATATAGATCTTAATCTTTTCTAAGTCTCTGCTGATGCATCTATAYTTTTTTTTTCCTTTTACACACATTTATCAGGCACCTACTATGTGTTATGCATGGAAATAAGCTGGACAACTTAACAATCCACAAAGCAAATATGGTCTTGCTTGCCCCTGGTGTTCAGTCAGCAGAGGTGGACAACTAAGCAATCAGCAAGTTAGAAAGGCCCAGATGCTATGAAGCGAAGTGGGAAGCAGATGGCTGGGAGYTTCCCTAAGGTGACAGGGAGAATGGGAAGACCCTCAGGAGGGTAGAGGGAGTAAAGGGCAATGGCCCGCCAGTAACTTGGAACAGGAAGGGTGTGGCCAGGTTTCCAGTACATAGGGACTGACTGGGGTGAGAGTGGGGTCACCACAGGAGACCAGGCAGGATCTGTGGCCCTTCTCTTGCAGGAACTAACAGTAGGTCTRTGGGTACGCAGCTCCTCAGAGCCCTTCCACCTATACTTTTAAAYTCCTACTGAACAATTTCTTATGTTCTGAAATTAATTCATCAAGTAAATGACTACAGGGGAAGGGGTGTTATAAAAAATCACATATTATCTATTTGTAGGATCTTTACATTTTTAAAAAATATTTGGAAGATAAGCAAAAGAAAGTCTGACAGAGAAAGAAGAGACATGGAGGCCTAATTAGCAAGAGTCATAGGGGACTGAATAAAACATTAGGAAACTATATTTTTAAGTATAAAGATATTGAGAAGGGTAATGTTTTTTCTTTTATCAAATATTTAATGAATCCACTACGCCCCTGTCCTTGTGTAAGTTGCTGGGGATACAAACTAGTTCTGGTCTAGGGCAGGGTTTCTAGTCTAGGGCAGGGTTTCTCAATCTAAGCCTACAAACATTTTGGGAAGGATATTTCRTCATCGTTAGTGAGGAAAGAGCTTTATATCAACAACAATGATCTGTTTTCTCCATTTTTTAAAAATAGTTAATCATCACAGTGACTCCAGGTCTGGGGACATAAAAGGAGAACAGATCCCAGAGAAGACARTGTTAAACAAAAGTCTATTAAGATCACAGCAGTGGTGTTGGGGCTGGGGCTTTCTGATAGTCTTCTGGCAATATTCATCCCTGCCCTGTAGCAGACAGCCTACCTTTTCTTATGGCCACAATTTTCCTGGACTCTACACACTTACCCTTCCAAGTACAGAAGACACCATTGTGTCCAATTTCCATGCAATTTGAGAACCTGACATGAAGGAGAACTTAGCAACCTTACCTTTGAATTAGGGTCCCAAAGATAAGATGAAGAAATTTCTGCATGTTTTCAGTACATAGCCATTTCCACTGTTTCATTAACAGCAAGAGGATTAGATTCAGGGCTGTGTCAGCTAACTCTGTTTCTGTTCCTGAGGGACATAAAGGCATAAAAGTAACTAAGAAGAAACCCCCAATTGAGGATGTATTTAATGCACTGGTGGCACTGGGGTCTTCTCTAGCTTCATATCCATCATCTTGGACTTTACTTTTTAATCCCTCTGCACTGAAATGAAGAGACACGTACTTCATACCTAGAAAGTTCAGTGATAGGCTCTGTATGTATTTATAATTCTTTGGTTAATGAATAAGTGTTCTTACTTTTTAAAAAGATTTTACATATATTTTATTTTACCTACCTAGCTTCTGTTTCTCCTTTATTTCCCCAGGTTGCTGAATTCATCTTGTTCCAAGTAAGAGCTCACAATTGGTGACTAACTGGAACTGGCAAAACTTTGTCTCTTCCTTGCCTTCCACTCGCCCCCACAATTCATCATGGAAATGTTGTGGGCAGAACTGGGGAAAGATTTGGGCTTCATTCTCCTGCAAAGCCTTGTTTTGACAGCATCTCCATTACACAGAGCTGTGGGTTTGAGATTCAGGAGGCTCCAGTTTGATTCTAAGATAACATGTGGTTCTAGGAAGAGCTCCACACCTCTGGTAAAGTGCCATGACATTTACTGATTTCTTCCCTGTTTTGAAGACTTCTGGAAGGGCCACAAATGAGCCTACACTCATGCTAACCTGGAGTTTCCAAACACATGTATTTTATGGAGTGAAACATCCATTTTCTAAACCTTTGTGTGGTGGGAGGACATCACTTCTGATTTGCTTTCTGGAGATTTCCTAGGAACACATAATATTCCACAGTAAATCTGAGGTTTCTGGTGCTATTGTTGTATTTAATATTATAATTAATCATCAACAATAACTTTGTTAGTCTAGGACTAACTGGACTTGCCTAAGCTCACCTCATTTAAGGGTCCTCTAAACATGAAAAAAAAGACAGTATCTCACAAAAACAGAAGGGAAACCAATAAAGTAGAGGAAGAGGATTGAGAGGGAAGGAGAACGGAAGGGCATAGGGAATTTGGGGGAATGAAATCTACTAAATTATTCTGTCCATGTATGAATATATCACAATGAATCTGCTTATGTACATAATCATAATCATCATCATTATCATCATAATATAGAGATAGAATAGAGAAAATGAATCAGAGGAAGAGAAAAGATGGAAAGGAAAGGTACTGGGAAGTGAGATCAATCAAATTATTATGTACAYGTATATATATTGCATTATGAATTCCACTGTTATGTATAATTATAATGCATCAATAAAAAAGAATATAACTGATTTGGATAGATCTGCTAGAATTGAAACCCACTTCCCTCTAAAGGCCATCTAATACATACTTCCTTTTTCTAAATTATATTTCTAGTGGGCATTTGGCTGATGAACTGCTTTCTGACTAGCTAAAAGCTAGAAAAGCTCAGGTATAAACTATCCATTTAAAAATACTATATTCAAAATGTATAGGGTTGATCTGGGCTAGAGTTATATTGTTTCACCAATCCCTTTTATCTGAAATTTACTCAAAGATGGGCTATTCCAATTCCTGGGAAATAGAATTCTCCTCTATCCAATTACTTTTACTCTCTCAGTTTTTCTATTTGCTTGAAGCTGCCACCATGTGGTAACACTCAGTCATAGCAGTAAAAAACAATAAGGCGAACAAGGTATTGCCAAGTCCTCTGGAAGAAAATGATACGTTTTCTATCATATGAACACTTTTGAGTCTCTCAGAGCTAAAGAAGAAAAGCTCAGGTATAAACTATCCATTTAAAAATACTAYATTCAAAATTTACAGGGTTGATTTGGGCTAGAATTGTATTGTTTCACCTATCCCTTTTATGTGTAATTTTTTAGASTTTTCTGATGCTTTTACTGTCATACTACTTCATTTACCTAACCAATGAGATACATGTGAAGGGGTGGGATTTTAAACCCCCTTTTCCACATATTTAAATTGAAGTTCATAGAGCAGAGATAAGGTGATTTGTCCATGGTAACCTGAAAGACAACAGTAAAATTGGCTTTTTTTCCTTCTGAACCCAAGATTTTGTGATCTTTTGTTCTCACTAGAGGTCTTTTTCTTGGTGGAATTGATGTACTTTTTTTTTTAAGTTCTAGTTAAGGAAATACTAATTAATATCCAAGGCTCCAATTCTTCCTTTGTAGAATGCATCTGCCTTTCTTCTCCTGGGAAGCAAACCAATCCTGCCTCAAAGGACATAAAGGGGAAGTGAACCTAATCTCTTCTCTTTCCCTTCTCTGGCCTAGGAAACAATGTAGTATCATTTGTCATAGCAGTAAATACAGAAGGGAGAGATTTAGGAAAAAAGATGAATTCTATCTTGAACATACTGTATTTCAGCTGCTCTGTGGTCTGTTCACATGGAGGAGTATAATATCCAACATTTATGCATTATGGGCATATGTATGAGAGTAGAAACCAACAGTACAGTTGGGATTACCTAGGGACAGCATGAGGGGAAGAACAGAGAGCCCAAACCAAGGCTACACAGGGTTGGTGGGGAAAACAAAAAAAGTGGGCCCAAAAGGGACCACAAGGAGAGGGAAAGAAAACCAGAAAAGGGGTACCACAGACACTGAGGGAAAATTCTAGATAAAGACAGTGGTCCCATGTACCAGAGTATGTTAAAAATATTTTAAGATATTATACACATGGATCTTCTGTTGGGTTACAACTCCCTGTGTCTGGGCCTGCCTGGCTCCACTATTTGACTTGGCTTTAGGGACTGTGTTATACTCTACACTGGAGTTCAACATGTGGCTTGCTCAGTTAAAGACAAAAGATATTAAAGCTACAAAGTGCACCTATCCCAAGTTCTTATGGCTCCYTTCTCTGCAGGAGTAGAGACCTTTCCATTTACCTGCATCACTGCTGCTGAGGTCCTGGGATAGCATGGTTGTACCTGACAAGCAATCATCCACATAGTCTTTGGAGATTTGTTCTGGATCTTTTACTGGGACTTCTGTTGGCTGCATTTCCAGTAACTTTGTCTGCTTTTCAATAAAGGATTCCATCCCAGACATGGATAGGATCTCTGACTCCTGAAGAAACAGCCAGTGGCATATGACATAAAGAATGCAGAAAGTACAGAAGTAAATGCAGCACTATAGGTTTCCCTAAAATTTTTGTGCAGACTCTGGAGACTCTACCAAAGTACCATGAGTATAGAACCCACTAACCCTAAGGCCAGTCTATAAAAGTTTCTTTTTTTTTTTTTTAACCCAAATTTCAAGCTTCCCTGGGATTATCACTTTTGCACACATTCTTGGTCATCTGTTCTCTTCTATAAATTGGTTTTTCTTCTCATCCTGTCATTCTTAATTCTGAACCCACTACCTTAAGAAGCCAACCTGCCAACCCACAACAATTAGAATTCAAAAGCACTCAGAGAAAATACTTTTAAATGTGAGACCTGGATGTTAGTTAAGTTCTTGGCAAGACACTTCAGTTCTTCCTGACTTGAGAGAATGTTTCAATTACCTATAACTATAGAATCAACACCCTGGGTCTTGATTCCTACAGTCCTCTGGGCTTTGGGGCTTACCACATTGCGCTCCTGGAGACAATAGAGAATCTTTTCATGTACTTCATTCATACTCAGTGCTGGAGAAATTTTGCTGGATGAGAACCTCAGTCTGGACCTAGTACAGCAATAAAGGGCAGAAACAGAATATAGTTTGTGGTCTTTATTTCCATACAAAGAGCTGGCCAGAATTGATAATACATTAAAAAAAATTAAAAAAAAAAAAACAACCCACACTTATTCTTAGGGGCTTATGGTACTCAGAGTTGCCAGGAAAGATTTGGCCCTGAAATCTTCCAAACAATATATATTCTGGCATTTCTTCATAGATAGTGCATATACTATGCACACATTAAAAATTTGTTGAAGGCTAAACAGACAAAAAAAGAGACTGAGGGAAAATTCTAGATACCCTTTTTRTTGTGGGTACCCTTTTTGTTTTGGACAACCATTTATTCCCCTTGTATTCCAAATAAAATCAGAGAAGGGATTTCCAAGTGATAAATCTCAATGTTTCAAGAGATAGAGAACAAATAAGCACAGGCACAATGGTCATCTTATAAAATATGGGTCAATTAAAAAAGGCTATCTATTGTGAGTCTGGCATTGCTGGATTTTAACATGAACACAAAGACAATGGCAGTCAGACACGCACATACATACTTTCTCTTTCCCTATGGGCCCATATTCAGATGAAATTTCCAGTAAGATTAAGTGTGGTACCCTTGCCTTCCACATGTTGGTGTGGAGTGATGCCAAGGAACAACTGGRACTCTAGTGCAGGATGCAGTAGCAGTCAACCAGTTACTAAAATAGACCCTGCAGGTTTCTACTCTACTCTTTTCTTGTTTATTGTTAGTATATGAAATTTCTGAGCCAAGATTACCAGAAATGACAGCAGAGATGAGTTATGAGCCTTAATTCTTAATAGGAAAAAAACCCTCAAAATATCAGAAGATAGAAAAGAGAATATCCATAGTCTACAGTATTCCTTCTAGTAAACAACAACAACAACAAAAATCCTTGGTCAGCTGAGTGCTGGGTTCCTGCTCTAGGGGTGTGCTAAGTAGCCCAGAGTCTGGCTTTGCCTAAAAATTTTTATGTGTGCCCCACCTCCTTTTCCTCCTCCTCTTTTCTAGGCTTGAGAATGAGGTAGGCTTTGGTTGAAGATTGAGGATCAACCTGATAACTGGGGGAAGGGTCTCTGGGCCACTGAAGGTTCTTACTTGCTAGCCTTCTTGCCTTCTGTCTGGGACTTGCTTTCGTTCTCGGCCTCACTCAGCTCCTCTGTGGGGCTCTGGGGTTCAGAGCGAGGAAATGCTGTCTTCAAGGTATCCACAATAGCATTCACCACCATCTGCAGGGGTCAGAGGTGCAGGGTTAGTACAACCATTTACATCCCCAGATGGAAAATGCCAAACAGAAAAGAAGTCAGCTCATTGTGCCTTACGCAATAAGATGAGTAGAGAGCCAGGCTATCTAGCAGAGCCTCATCCATTAGGAAAGCCAAATACTCGCCAATAAAAACAATCTTCCCTTTTCTCTATGACCATCAATATCCTTTTCCTTGCAGAATAAAACAAACAATGCCATGGGGAAAGAAGCCAAAACAAACAGTGGGGTAAATAAAAACCTAGGAGTTCTGCAAGTTGGTGACTTCCTTTTTATATAAAAAGGTGGTCTCCAGTTTCTAAATTGATATAGCCTTCAATAAGATGGAACAAGTGGAAGTAATATAAGGAAAAAAAGAAGAATGAAAAAGATGATCAGAAATAAAAAATACAGTCTAGGAACATAAATAATATAAACATGCTTTGGGTAATTCACACAGACCAAAGAATTTTTTTTTTTGTAGTTAAATAATTTCTAATAGTAAAGAAAGAATGAAAATCACTGGGATCAAAATGAAGAAATCTAGAATTGAGATAAAATTTTCCAGCCATAAAGAAAACCAAATAATTTCCAATGAAGAATTATCTCTATTTCTCAGAATGGGAAAATGACAGACATATATTTACTAAAGAAGACATACAAAAAACCAAAATCCTGAARTTTTTATGACAAGGAAAGAAACCATTCCTTTTCCTTGGTGTCTCTTGTTCTTTAACACTGCGGGAACAGCATATGCCTTCTTTGAGACATTCTTGGACGATCCTGCACAAGGAGCACAGTACAGCTAAGACAAGGTGGAATAGACAAGAAGGCTACAGTGGAGAGTAGAGAACAAGCCAGGGAAGGAACACAGAGGACAGCATGAAGATAGATAATGTAGCTCAGGAAATACAACTTGCTCTTTAAGCTCAAGAACTACAGTCTGTAGGAGGGTCCTAATCTGTCTCATCCACTTTTGCATCACTAGCAAYTGGAACAGTGCCTGACTCAAAACAGGCATCTAATAAGATGTTGAAACAATCAATGAATGAATATATCTACATGGAACTCTGGGAGTTTTAGTTAGATGATCCCTTTGTAGTCTGTGGTTTATCCCACATAGCAGTGGATGTCCTCTGGCACCTACCACATGAAATTCCATTTTATTTTGTGCTCCCAAGCCTAGGTGAGAAGAGAGAAGCCCTTCTTCTGCCAATGAGACATTGTAAAACAAACCATCTTCTGATGAACATAAATCTCAGGCTTTTGTCCTGCAGACTGTGATAACAGCTGGTAATCATAGCTTATAAGTTCTTAAGTATTCCAGATTTCCTTCTCCTACCATCTCCATGGGAGCTGAGAGACCCTCTTGAATAAGTATAGTTCTTTGAATACTCTRTTTTCCATCAGAAAATCACAACATCAACTGAAATCCAGGTCAGTGTCCTGCCTTGGAGCTCTCTTTCCTGATGACCACACTAGGAATGACCTTTCCCACAAGAAGAGAATCCCTACAATTATCCATGGATCTTCACTYGATCCTTACATGCCTCTACTGCAGGAACAATCAACATTTCCCCAGGAGATGTGTGTACACTTAGAGTCAGGGCTACTATCACCTAATAGCTGCTCACTGTGATTTGGCAAGTTGATGATCCAACAAATATTTGGCAACATGTCTTAAAAATTCTAGTCAATGTTCTACTGACTCCTCTGTGCCACCTTGCCCTATACCCTACCTCTCTTATTTTTCAGATACTGCCTCTGTTCTGATGAACACTCCACGTCTGCAGAGAGAAATGAAAGCTGAGTATAGCAGCTTTGCTAGTACCTTATCTATTCTGGAGACCATGAATGGTTTCTTGACAAAGGCAATTCGAGCATCTGTGTTCAGAGCAAGAAATTCCTGCACCTCTTCACTGTTAGCGATTTCAGGAATGGCACAGAGTTGCTGCAAAATTAAGACAGAAGGATTTTAAAGAGAAATCCCAGTTCCTAGATCTCTCTGCCTTGGCTTGGGTGGGCAGGAGTCAGAATGAGGGCAAAAACAAAAAAGATGCTAACCTTGAGGAATGATTCCAGAAGGCTCTTTCGGGCTTCCACTCTGTCACTATCCATGTTGCCAAATGGAAGATCTGGAAAGAGCTTTTTAGGACCTTTCACATCTCCAAAATAAAACAAAAATACCTCCTTTATTTAACATTCATAGAGAGTTACCCTATATAAAAGAGTTATTGAATATTTTTTTTCTGACATTTTTTTTTTAATTTCAGGAGTTCCAAATATGCTCCCAGGATGTAATATACAGAATCTACTCCCACTACTAATATAAAGAGACCAATTGATATAGTTAGAAGAGAGGGCTTTGAAGTCCAATCGATCAGTTTTGGGGCTCCAATCCCTAGTATAATGATGACTGCAGGAAAATTGCATAATCTTTCAGTAACTTTGTCTTTTTTCTGTAAAAGGGAGATGATGGTATCTATCTCATAGGCTATTAAGAGGATTAAATTAACTAACAAGAGAACCTGACCCATGTATTCAAGCTTGACTCAGTATTAGGTATTGTTACTAAGAAAGAAAATAAACAATTATGCCCATAGTTATTAATATATTTATTTGGACCAGAATCAGCATTTTTTTAAAAAAACAAAGTAACCAGTGACTAGCTCATATTTATAGTTGAGTTTTATTACACTTTCTTATTTTCCCTGGGCCTTGGAAGTGTCAAACAGCACACAAAAGGCCTGGTTGTTAAAGGAAAGGAAGTGACATGAATTTCTGTATAATATTTTAATATTTAAAAGTGAAGAATCTATTTTTCTRGAAAAGTTATAATGTCTCACTCTATCTTATGGGCACAGATAGAAATTTGAATGCATTTAGCAGCAAAGGACTACCTCAGAAAGAATGTAATCAGAGCTGTCTAGCACAAAACCCTCAAACTTTCAAAGCAAATTTGGGGAAGAACATCAATGCTGCGTTATCCTCTCCACAAACCCATAGGCTACCAATCATTCAGTTTAGGGTGGCTAGATGTGAAAAGCAAGCAGCCAGTCAGGGACTGGGCAATTCCTAACTTTTGATGAACTTTCGTAGATCTGGTTTCTCCTCCAGGCGGGTCTGCAGGTTCAAGAATTCCCGGTATCGGCGGTTCACAGTGTGGTAGGCCAGCTGCTGCAGGGCACTGCTGTTCTCACTGTTAAAAGCTGTCTCATACTGTTGAAGGAACAGATTTATTGATAGAATCAGCCAGGTTTAGGCAATCTTCTATTCTGGATTTAATGAAAACATGTTCAATGGCTACACAGTAATAGCACAGTAGGGATAAAGGGAGGGAGATATTCCTATTCTTTTATAGAACCTAACACATCTGATTGCTGCCCTGGGTTGAAATGAATAACTCAAACTCCAAGGAAGCTGAACTGAAGAATGAGTTCCTAATATATGTGGCCCAGAATGTCAGAAATGAATTTCACTCCTCCCTCCCTCAAATATTTACTTTATCTACAAAAATGGCTACATCACTATTATTCAAATCTCAAAAGGTGAGTATAAAACAGAAGGCATAACACCTATAAAAAATATTAACTCTATCACCCCTAAATTACAAATTGGACCTTATTAAGGGGAAAACCATTTTGCTTTTATACTCATTCAGGGATGATTTCTATTAATTGGGGGAAGAACAAATAATTCCAAACAATGAACATAAATCATTTGTTTGCGTGCAATGAATTAAAAGAACATGTGTTTTAGTTTTGCTCTGGATAGATTAATCTTCCTAGTTGTTATTTTTAGGGGTTAAGTTTTTTTTTTTTCCCCTAAGCACATGACATATGTATTAGAAGTCAAGTGATGACTGGAGATGTTTTAAAGTCTGTTGCCTTTGAATGCTTGGAGGGCTTGTATGTGGAATGATGACTAGTTCTTGTATGTTCCCAGAAAAGTGAGCACCGTGAACAACATGAAAGCTATGACTCAATACAGAGGAAAACTTTGTCTCTGACAGAGTAGTTAAGATAYAAGGAACTGTTATACTTGCTCTTTTTAGGAATAGACTAATTAGGAGTAGGTTATTATTGTTTGGTATATTACTATATTGTGGCAAGTGATAGGAAAAACTATCCATTGTTGGTAGGACTTGGTGGTATTTTAAACTTTTTTATAGCTAGAGAAGCAGGGGTACTCACTATGAATTGAAGAGAGAAAATAAGTTCCTGAGACCAGTACTCAGAAATAAAGACACAGGTAGAATTCAGGGGAGGGCTCTCAGAGAAACTAGGAGTTGTAATCTTCCTGTGGAATATTCTGCTTATTGGGGGACAATATTCAATACTGATGTGTTCACTTCTATCATACAAACTAAAACTGGTTTACAATCAGAAAGTAAAATAACTTTGAAATCAAGTTAAAATCATAGTTACATTAYGTCCTTTTGAAAATCTAAGGCCAATCTCAAACTATACATAATTGACTATATTATTTTGTTGCTCATTTTCCACCTTACCCTTTTTTCAGTGTCTACTTGAAGTAGGTAGTAACTGGTGTCAAAATTTAGCAATAACAAAAACAATAAGTGGGAGAAAGATTATGACTTAATAATTCTCTCCATTAAATTTTCTGCTAATGAAGAGGAAAAATAATTCTTGTTTAATATCAGTGTTAGAATATATCATAAATAGAAGATGGAAGAATCAGAAGCTGACACCTATTTGTGAGAAAGGTGCATGTCATTGGGACATATGGAATTAGAACAAAAAGGCAGGCAAAATGTTTACATCTGTCCTTTGAGACTAGCCAGAGTTATTACATGACAGATGTCTATACTTGTAAAATTTGTCTATTTCATAAGGAGTGTTTGTGTGTATGTATAAATATATGTACTTGCATGTTTATGATTCTGTTGTCTTAACTTCAAAATGTCTTGTTAATTTTCAAAATGCTGTTATGATGCAACTGAGTTCAGCAGATTAGGGAAGGCCCTTTTCCTATTAACAGGACTGGGATTTTGAGGATGAGAGTGTTAGCAGTATGCAGGTACATGCCTTATGGAAGTTTTCGGACTCAATGAGAAAAGCAAGGAAAAAGCAAGTAAAATACAACAGATAGGGTCTTGCCCAGGAATTCTTTTTCCAAATTTCTTCCCTGCTACATTCTTCTTAAAAAATACTAGTATCATTTGAACTTTGTTTTTGGAAGGCAGATTATTTACCTGTATTTACCTCAGAAGATAGGAATTTTTTTATTCCTGAAGACATTTAAGCACAAACTTGGAAACTATTTGGAAGAGATAATAATAAAGGAAGCTGCTTAGAGCAGCTGATTCCCTCCAAATAGTTTGAGGTCAAGGTGTCTTCACGTTGCCTGGAAAGTCTTATTTTTAAAATATATAGAACCCTGGACTCTACTTTGGACATTCTCCTTCAGAAATTGTCAGGGTCTATCAGAATCAGTGTATTTAAAAAGCAGCCCAAGTGATTCTGAGGTACAGCCAAGATTGGAAACTAGGGTAAAACCCTGAGCTTCTAGATTATTTGTATAGGAATAGGGTAAGAGCCTACTCTGCCTTACAAATTAGCTTCAGGCCATTTACATACAGATGTTTGTTGAATTAAACATAGCAAACTAAAAGTCATCTCCTGAGAGAACATTACATTTGCTGACTCTGATTTCTGATTACATTCCCAGCCCGTGGTGGGTACCTGTAGCTTGAATTCTGTTACCTTTACAGTGTAGAGTGTATACGGGTGAAATCCAGTGCCACTGTGCTCTCGGGCAGTAATGGTACCAGTGATACGAAGGTTCTGGATGACAACTGGGCCATCTGGACTGCTCAGGGGCTCAAAGCTGAAAGTGGTTGAGCTGAGAGGACCAGGTGGAGAGGAAGAAAGTGGAACTGGTGGCAGAGTTGGATCAAGGGAGCTCATATCATTGATGAGATCCTTATTATCTAAGCACGAGGGTCGCAGGGGCTGAATCTTTTTTGGCTCCTCCAACAAAGCTGTAAGAGAGGTGTCATCTCCTTGCTCTACCTCCTTGTCTGCTGTGTCAATTTGGATCTCTGGGCAGGAGTTCAGCATGGAGACCAGCAGGCCTGTTTCTGTCCCTGACCCCTCCTCAGTCTCTGCTCCTTCATTGCCCTCRGATCCCTCACCTTCCTTTTGTTCCAGAGCCTGGGAATCCTCTAAGGCACATAGGGCATCCTGGATCCGGTCAGAGAGGAAGTTGCCTGGGGTCATGAGCATGATAGTTTCTTTGCTCAGTTCAGACAGTGGAGACTCCAGTTCTGAGTCTTCACATAAGAACAGGGGGCCTCGAATATCTGGCTGTAGGAAATGAGATGAGTTGTTTCCTACTTTTCTTTCTTCAAGTATCCCAGCCATATCTGCCTCTACAGCTTCATGGCCTTCTTCAACCTCTGGGGAAGGGCCTGGCTCACTACAGTTTAGGAGCACAGAGGCTTCTACTGGAGAAGGGGCTCTTCGTTCTGGCAGAGTTTYCACCTCAACAATCAGTGGTAGAGATGTGGGCACTGAGTGCTGTTCCAAGGAACTGGGTGGGAAGAGTGATTTATCTATTTTTGCTGAATCATTTCTGGCCTTGGAAAAGATACCCACAAGTAAAAGGTGAATCCAGTCAGGATCTGACAGCTTGCTGATCAGTGGTAAGATTACATTGCAAGTAATGAGTTCAACCACCACATGGCGTCCAGTTCTAGTCTCCAAGTGGGGCTTGGGCACCAGTCCTTGAAGTAACAAATTCACAATGCCACGGGTATAGGTGACCTCTGTACTAGGATTGTGCATAGCAGGATGTGGGGCAGTAACCTGGCAATAAGCCTCCCAGAGCTGGGAAGGCTGGACTRGACCACTCTGCTTCTCTGTAAAGGTCTCCTTTGCCTGAATGTAGCTCTGCAGGTGACAACCACAGAGAGTCATAACTCTCTGGGCAAGAGCACGAYTGTTCACCATACCCATCCTCCTCCGAAGTTCCTGCACCAACCCTTTCATGGCCGCCTCCATCTCTTCCTCAAAGGCTGGCTCCTGGCTCACTGAACGATACCAGGATAACACAAAATCTCGAATAATCATCTGGATGGTGCTGTTGATCTCCTGCTCCAACTGCCTTTCTGCCTCAGGGCATGGAGGGCAGGTGGCCACTGGGATGAACCGCTCCAGGTGTAGTCGACCTGAAAGCCCCAAAATGGAGCTGGAGCCTAGCCATCCTCCCAGCACCACTAGCAACGCTGAGAGAAGGCACAGAAGCCACACGTTAACCAGAAGGTGGATAACTAGAAGCCAGCCAAGTAAGATCCCCACAATCATCAGCTTCCGGCTACCCCACAGATTACTTAAATTACGTAAAGACTGGGCAGAGGTCTCCTGGATAGGGGACACTGTGTCGGCCTCCATGGCTGAACGGCTCAGGTAGCTTCCCCCAGACGACAGCCCTCTATTTTACTTAAGTGTCAGGAAAGGAGGCAGGTACTGTGTTCCAGATACAAGAAAACTGGGGTTCTCTACAGAGAACCGGCAGGGGCTTCGGGCCCTTGAAGTCCTACAGGCGCTGCAAAGCGACAGCTGCAGCTCTGCTTCTCCCCCTCACTACTGTCAACAGAACACTCCAACTAGCCGCTTCCAGCGGAGATGCAGAGGAAAGCTCTGCGGCCTTCATAGTGCCCCAGGCGGAGCGCCTCTCTGCAGCCTCAGAGAGGGCGGTGCAGGGCCGGCTGGGTCCCACACACACTTACAAACGCCGGTGCTGCGGCCGGCCGGGGGCGGGTCACACGTCGCCAGGGGCCCCGCGTCCAGTCTGAGACCCCGCCTGGAGTGGACTCATTGGGGTTCCCGCCGACAGCCTCAGCCCGCAGCCACCGCAGGCTAGGGCGGCTAGGGCGACCGTGTTCCGCAGCGCCCACTGTGCCAGGGCTGCCGGCCGGCCAGCAGCCGGCGACAACTTCCGGGTCGTGGCGGGCAGGAGCGAGGCATGCTGGGAGAGCGGCTGCAAGGGCCCGGAGAAGCGGCTCTGCAAGGTGCCCCCTGGTGGTCAGAAGCCGTTGTGACGGTCGGTCTCCACACCTGAGAGCTGCAAAACTTGTGCTCCCCAAGAGAGGACAAAAATTCCATGTGTCACTAAACCACTGTGGCCATGAGGCAGTGACTCGCACGCTCAGATTTCTAGCGTCTTTAAGGCGAGTTGCAGCTCCAGTTTTCTCAATCTTGTTTGCAAACACCCCTTATACTTATGCACATTCTTGATCCCACTTATTTTAAATATTGCTTATTTTAATCTCATGGGGTCATATTTCATGGGCCTCTTGGATTAAAAAAGTTCACCCCTTTCCTTCCGAACCACTCCCATTCCCACTGAATCCCTAATTCACAGCCTACCTCACTTGTTCTCAATAATTGAAAAATACAAGTCATAAAATATGATACAGGGACAAATTTATTCTTTTAATTCTATATACTGCATTATGAAATCAAATTTGTGTTTTGGGGTTATTTGCTGATGTCACTGCTCAAACAGTTATATATTTTGAGCATTTGCTATGTTTAGGTGCTGTGATAGGTAGTTTAGGGAAATACAAATGATCCTTGTCCTCAAGACCCTTGTAGCTAATTGAGTAAATGACTACTCTGAACATAAATAGATATTTAATTATACACACCAGTATGTGATATGGTAACTTGCAAAATATTACAGGTATTCAGAGGAAGGAAAGATCATGGTGGGTTGCAAAGGTCAAGGAGAATTTAAATCTAGAAATTTTTATGTTCATTTGGTGTGAAGCCAATTTCCTTCCACACCTTGGCCCTTCGGAATGCTGTCTGTAATGTGGCTATCCTTTTTATTTTGGCATAGAGTATATATCATTTGCATAAAACTGGTATGGTTGCCCATCTCCAGCATTCTCTATGTTGTTAGCAGCCTTTTGTCATTATAGAATTTACTTTCTAGATGTAAAGGAAAATCTTCTGGCCAATTCCAATAAAAACTGTGCCAACAAGAAGCATATTTCAGCTTGTTCTCTCATTTCCATTCTAGTATTGGTGCAAAAATTCTTTTTAATACAACCATCATTTATATGTGAGGCATGGTTTATAGCTAACCACTTCTAACGCAAATGGTGCAACTTTGGATGGAGGTCTCCATTAAGCTGATTGGGAATCTCCCTTAAATCCCAGAATGTCGGTTCACATTCCACAGTATACTCCACTTCAGTGCCACTCTCCTTCCTGTGGAAAAGGAAAGAGAAGTGAACACTGACTCTCTTTCCCCTTCCAGACCATGCCATTGTTCTCAGGAACAATTAGATGATGTCAGTGATGACCTGGAGAAATATCCCTGCCACCTAGTTGAGGATTAAAATAAAAAAAGAGAATGATGAAGGGTTTAATGATGCTGCTGCTGTAAAAATTGCATGGTAGCTCAGAGAGAAAGTTTACTCTGCAGCATGATCTGGAATGTTCAGGGCAATAAGGAACTGACCTTGTAAGTGGGCACTATGCCACCTGACCAGATGGTCTGGGGCACTGAAGTATCCAAGAGTGTCTTCCTGATTCTGAAGCGAATTTGATGGACATGCCAATGCACTTGTCATTTGGACAGGTCTGAGTTTCTGCCCAGGGGTCTGGGACAGTTCTGAGTCTCCAAACAGATTAATCACTGGGTAGAGGTGAGTCAGGACTGATGTTCAGTGGTGTGTGTGTGTGTGTGTGTGTGTGTGTGTGTGTGTGTGTCAGGGGAAAACTGTCTGTCTGGCCACACTGTTTTTTGCAGAGTCCCTCCTTCTCTTATCATTTCTCAAAACATTAACAGCATAATGCCAGATTGGTAGGAATAATAAGATAAATAAGACACAGTTATTCATCTCAAAGGACTCTCAGGCTAGTTAAAAGAGAGACAAATAGAGAAATGTAATTAAGCATGATCTCAAGTTTTATGTGGTGTGCTACTATAGTTGCCAATAGAAGAATGTACAATAAAGTGGGAACTCAAAGGAGGGATGGTAAACCGGGGAATTGAATAGTTCACAGAAAGTTTACCCATAAGTTGGGAAATGCAAGAGAAGTAAGKGTATTTTAGGAAAATGTAGGGTAGAGAGTGCAGAGGCAAAGGGTGGGTACAGCATACATGTGAGAACAGTCAGGGACAATGAGAGAAAATGGCAGTGTGACAAGAGGCCAAGCTGGAATCAGTCCATGCCACACATTAATTTTCTCTTGAAAATAGAAGACAGAGTAACCTAATGAAGAGAGTTTCAGTGATGGGTCAGGTGAGTGGAGAAAAGGTAACGGTGCAGAATTATTTGCTAATAAAGGTTATGTGACTGAAAAAGAAGGATTGAGGGCAGGCTGAGATTAGAGGTCATGCTTTTGTAGTGGTGCAATATACATTGTTGAGTTGTTTTCTCCTGAGATATTTAGTGTCCTCAATATAGCAAAGATACAAGCAGGAGACTGGCAAATTACCATGTTGTGAGTATCAATGTAGATGAAGAGAAGTAAGTGGTTAGAATGTTGATATCCCTAAAGGAAAGGTGCTAAAATTGAAAATCATGGTGTCTAGGTGTCATAAAAGGGAAATAAAACCAGGAGAAAGATTAAAAATTGTGAAAACAGGGTTTAGTGATCTGGAAGTGGAGTGAACAAGACAGAAGAACAAAGGTTTGTGGTTGGAGATTAGGCCGTTGGYTCCTATGTTAGCTTCACCTGGCTGCTCTACCAAATTGCCACCAACTAGTGACTTACAGCAACCTAAATTTATTCTCTTACAGTTCTGGAAGTCTGGAATGAGTTGTCAGAGACATGCCTCTTCTAAAGGGAAAATATGTTTTCTTGTTCTTTCCAGATTCTGGAGGTTACCTTTGGCTCATGTCCCCACATTACACTGACCTCTGTTGTCACATCTCTTTCTCTGACCCTGATGCTCCTGTCTCTGACCTAAAAGTTCCTTTATGATTATACTGGGTTATCCTGTACAATCCAGTATAATTTTCACATCTCAATACCTTTAACTTCATCAAATCTACAGTTTTAGCCAAGTAAAATTACAGAGTCACAGAGGATTAGGTGCAGGCAGACAGCTTGGGAGGGAGCACTACAGAGCTTAGGTAGTTAGATGTTTTTGATGATTAAGTCTGGTTGTGGCCAAATAATAATCTCCTGAARTAGGTTCCAGATAATGTGTTAGGCTTGAGCAAGGAACGTTGAGTCTGCATGTTTGAGAAGGATGGTCTTCCTGAGCCTGGAAGTCATGTTAGGGAGGATGGTGATCTTGGGACAAAGGTTCTCAACTAATGAGAACGACCAGGAGGTTGAAGGATGATGAAGTAAGCATAAAAGATCCTGGCAATACCAACACAGTACGAGGAAGTTTTCTATGAGTCCCAAAATGAATGATCTGAAGGAAACCCTAGGATGTTGCCAAGAGCATTTCCACATCTTGCCTTAGACACAGTGATGGGGAATAAACGGCCACCAGAGGGCAGCAGAGAGCACAGCAGCTTAAGGGGACATTTGCCTGGGGCTTGTTCCTCTGCTCCTGAATTCTTACTTTCATCTATTCGTTCGACAAGGATGAAGCTAGTTATTAGGAATTCAAAGATAGACTTTATATAGTTTCTTTTMTGAATTCACAATCTACTATTAGAGGTAGATTTTGACACAATGAAAAAGTAGTATTATAGAAATATGCCAAAATGTTGCACAGAAGAGATGTCATTTGAATCGGCCTTGAAGGATGGGTTAAATATCCTATGAATAAGAGAGGAATGGGTCATTCTGGGAAGGAGGAAAACATTTGGAATTCTGCATAAGCTCCTGTGTTAGTTTACTAGGGCTCATAACAACATACTACAGACAGAGGGGTTTAAACATCAGCAATTTCTCACAGTTCTAAAAGCTGGAAGTCCAAGATTCCCTCCTTGGCTTACAGGTGATCACCCTGTCACTGTGTCCTTGCAGGGTCTTTTTTCTCTGCACAGGCATTTCTATTGTCTTTTTTTCTTTCATAACAGTCCTGTGGGATTATGCCCCGCTCTTATGACCCTGTTTAACCTTAATTACTTCTTTATGTGTCTCATTTCCAAATATAGTCACATTCTGTGCTGTACTGGATATCAGGACTTCAATAAGTGAATTTTGAAGGAACAGGACTCAGTCCATAATGGTTCCTTTCTAGTTGTGGGTGTTGTGAATGACCATGTTTTGATTATCAGAATACTGTAAAAGAAGATGGTAGTTTGGATAGTTTCCAATACTTGTTTTAAGAGATCTASGATTAACTTTCACACTAGGCCTTATACCGTATTAAGTTCCCTGGATGACYTCCCACTAAAGAACAACTAGGTATTAAAGATGAAACACCTTGTGATGAATTAATATATTCATGAGAGGATTCAAAGTAGGCAAGGAGTCCAAGATACACTTATCTTATCCGAAAACAAACCTGAACAAGACAGACAACCAACTTTGAGAAGAGTGGGAGAGGGAATTGTGACTAGTAGTGGGCAGATGAAAGGGGTAAAGTGGCCCCAGGGACGGATGCTTTAGCAGAACCAGAATCTGCTCTGAGGCTTGCTTTAGCAGGGGGAAAGTGTAATTAAGCTCCTGAATTCTATTTTGAGCCACAACCTTGGGTCGGGGATGTTGAAGAGATCCTAGATCGGTGGAASCTCCTGAAATACATATAAATCATTTCTGGAAGAAAATATTATTTTAAGACCATGAAATAATACAATGTGAACTACAAATTCAAGGTCTTCAAATATATAGGAAGGCAAGCTAGCATGAGTGAGAATTAGGAAAAAAATAAATAAACAACAGATTTAGAC